AGGAGGAGGAGGAGGAGGAGGAGGTGGTGGAGGAGGAGGAGGAAAAAAAGGAGGAGAAGGAAGAAGGTGATGATGAGGAGGAAGAAGAGGTGGAGAAGGAGAAGGAGGAGGAAAAGGAGGAGCAAGAAGAGGAGGAAGAAGAGTAAGAAAAGGAGGAGGATGAGGAGGAGGAAGAAGAAGAGGAGGAGGAAGGGAAAGAGGAAGATCTCACTTTTGCACAAGGGCTTTCTGAGCTTGGAGATGGGATGTGGGGCACTGGACAGCGCTGTGTGGAGGCACTGGGAGAAACTGGGCCACCAGGGACAGCAATGGGGCTTGTGCCCGTCCTTAAAGAGGTCAGCGTGGGGGTCTGTGGGCACCCAGCCCAGCCAGGATCTGCCTGTGGGGCAGGGCCAGGGTGACCCCTGCACGGTTGAGGGGAACGTGGGGGCACCCACCCCCAACACGCCCCCAGCCACGGGGCTGGCACGAGGACGTACAGGCAGAAAAGGGGCGTGGGAGCCGGGCTCGGGTGGGATTTGCAGCCCAGGGCGGGGCAGGGGGGTGTCACCTACCCTCATTCTCCTCCAGCTTGCGGACCTGGCGCAGGACGGGCTGCAGGTTCATGTAGAGCCGGTGGCTGCTGCTGAGCAGCTGCAGGAGGTGACGGGAGCGCAGCGGGCAGCCCGTGTAGTAGATGAGCTTCCTGGCCGAGGGCAGCCCATCCGGCAGGATCTCAAACTTCTTACCCTGCGTGGGAGAGGAGGGACATAAGCCCCAGAGAGAAAAACACTCTAATTCTCACCCAGCCCTGCTGCAGCCCACCTATGAACCCCCCCAGCTCGCAATCACCCCCCTTGAGGTCTGGGCAACGTCACCTTCGTGCCCAAACCAGAGCCCAGGAGTGACACGGGCAGAGATGCTCTGCCCGGGGATGGTGGCACTCACCACAAACACCAGTTTGCCCACATTTGTCCAGGGGAAGTCGTAGAGCAGCTGTTTTTCTTCATCCAAGTTCTGCAAAAAGAGGAGAGGCAGGGGCTGCCCACACTTGCCTGGCAGCAGGCGGGGAGCTGAGCCATCACCCTCATTCAGCCGCCTACCTGGAAGATTTGGATGCCCCGTGTCGTCAGTCCCAGCGTCAGGGAGGCCTCCACCTCCCTTTTGTCCTAAGGGGGGAAAAAATGAGATGGTTTTAAGTACGCCATTTGCCACACAAAGTGGATAAATCTGCCCCCCTAACCTCCTGCAGTCACTCCATCTCCCGTCCAGCAGCAACACCTGTAGGTGGCACCTTAACGATAGAATCATTTAGATTGGAAAAGACCCTTAAGATCAAGTCCAAGTTTAATTAATGATGCACACACACCACCTGCTCGCATCCTCCCCAGTCTCACCCCCAGGTGCCTGCTGCCCTCCTCACCACCCAGAAACCCCCCAGCTTAAGGGTCTGGACAAGCAGTTTAACCTCAGAAAACTTGGGAGGACCTGCAGAAACAGAGCTTGAGCCCAACCTGTTCCTGCACTGGCAGCAGCACAGTGGCTGCAGCCACGCACACCACCACTGTGCCCCACACATATCTTCTTGGAGGGCTGGAAACAAGGTTTGTTTCTTTTTTTTTTTTTTACAGCCCTTTTTAACAATGTACCCTGCTGCCGTGCTCAGACGCTCTCTGTACTTGTCTCTGTGCTTTCCCGAAGGCTTCTCCTTCCAAATCGGGTTGCAAAGCACAAGCTCCCAGCAAACAAATCTCTTTGCTGGGAGAAAAACCCAGCGTATATTTCTTAAGGAGAGGATACTCAAAAATTAAGACCCCAGAAACCTTGCAGCTGCCTCCTTGCACCCTGGCAAACCTCTCGCCTCTCTGTAACTTGTAGAAAATGGCAGGACTATAAAAAGCTGCCTCTCACTGCCTCTGGGAATGAAGCATAGCCCTCGAGCTTGCTCTGCTCCGGCCAGCGAGTGTCAGATCAAACGCAGCTCTTCCCAAAATACCTTAGAAATTGCTCGGCAGTTGCTCCTTTCAATAAAAAGCAGCCCTGAATCTGAAGCCCGGCCTGGGCTTGCGGCCGGGACTCACCTTGTACAACCTGTAGTAGTGCACAGCCACGTCGTCCAGCCGGACGGCCTCCTTGATGTACTTGAGGTGGGCTTCGGAGGCTGTCAGGGCAAACTGATCTTTGTGCATATTTGGGACGTGCTTCAGGATGTAGTCTTTGCCCCGCTTTGCAACCACCTGTTTGAAGGAGAAGAGAAATTCATCCAGGGGAGCTGCTCCGGGCTTGCTCAGGGTCAGACGCCTGCCCCAGTGTTCCCAAGCAGCGGTGATTTCAAGGGAAAAGGGAAATGGGAGCGATAGGCTCCGTTATAGAGATCTGCAAGCAAAAATAAAAAGGATACAGCAGCCAACAACTTCTCAGTGCCTGTCCCGTGGAGCTCCCACCACCAGTGACACCCGTGCCGGGGCAGGCAGAGCCATGCACAGGGTCCCTTCGTGGCTGGGGACATGGCCCCAGGGCCATCGCTTCTCAGTGACATGTACAACAAGAAGAGAAGCTGGTAAATTGGGGGAAAACTCCAGAAAATGGGCAACAGTGCTCACAACTTTTATTAATTAATCTTCTCCTTGCCAGGGAACCACGGCGACGGTTCAGCTGCTTGGGGTTTGGGTACCCCAGAGAGGCTGTCACTGTGGAGAGGGGTCTCCCAACTGAAGGGGGGCCCCTGCCAAAACAGGGTCCAAGCCAGGAGTGCCTGTGTCACTGAAGTGCCATCCAGGACCGCTCCCTACTCTGCTCCTGTGCAAAGTCATCGGGGTGGCATCTCCCTGGCTCTACCTGCGACTCAGAGGTGACCCAGAGCTGGCTGTCACCCCGTGCCCTGCCTCAGTTTCCCTCCAGGACTATCTCAGGTGCTGCCTACACCCATGGCCACTGTCAGCACCGAGGACACGCTTCCAAAGGGCTGCAAAGCCCAAGAGGATGCACATGACGGCAGTGGGGCGATGCCACGTGATGGCACGTGGCACGTGGGGAAGCCCCCATGAGCATCCCTGTGGCACGCAAGGAAATCCCCACTGGCCGTATGAGCCACCACACCGACCCCAACCCTCCCTGTCCGCAGCTATTTGCAGCCCTGCAGTTGTCTGAGGTTATTAATAACCAGGACTAAGCCAGAGATAGGGAGGCAGCAGGAACGCTGGAAGGCTGGGAAGCCTCCAAGCAGCCCAGCATCAGCAGCCTCAGAATCCCAGAATCACAAAGGTTGGAAAAGCCCTTGAAGCTCCTCCAGCCCAACCATGAACCTCACCCTGACCGTTCCCAACTCCCCCAGATCCCTCAGCGCTGGCTCAGCCCGACTCTTCAACCCCTCCAGGGATCCCGGGGACTCCCCCCTGCCCTGGGCAGCCCATTCCAACGCCCAACAGCCCCTTCTGCACAGAAATCCTTCCTCAGAGCCAGCCTGACCCTGCCCTGGGCAGCTTGAGGCCATTCCCTCGGGGCCTGGCGCTGGGGCCTTGGCTCCAGAGACTCATCCCCCCTCTCTGCCCCCTCCTGGCAGGGAGTTGCAGAGGGCCAGGAGGTCTCCCCTCAGCCTCCTCTTCTCCAGACTGAACCCCCCCAGTTCCCCCAGCCGCTCCCCAGCAGACCTGTGCTCCAGACCCTGCCCCAGCTCCGTTGCCCTTCTCTGGACACGCAAAACCTCGTAGGGGTTCACACGAGCTTACAGCAAGGACCCCATATCAGCACGCTTACCCAGGCGGGGAAATAGGCTTCGGGCTCAAAGTACTTCCCATAGTGCTTGTTACGCTTGAAGTCGCCCAGGTCAGCTTGGAGGGCGAAGGCGGTGAGGAGGAAATAAGCCTCCTCGCGCAGGACACACTGCGAGTGCAGCACTTGCTTCCGCAGGTGCCAGTAGTAGTAGTAACGTGCTGTCCGGTCGCTGTTGGGGAGCAGAGAAGAGTGGGGAGGAGAGAGGAGCCAGCGGGACACCCACCCATGACCGAGACTAGGGGGTGGGAGACAACTCCAGCAGCTTCGTCCCACTGGGAAACTCTTACAGAAGGAGAAGGGCTGGGTGCCGAGTCGTTCGCTCCCTTTTCCTCCATTCCTTAAAGCTGGGGCTCCCATTAAGTGGTGCAAAACTGCAGCTGCTTCACTGTGCTGAAACTTCCAGGCCTCCCACAGCCAGAATTACCCCCCCGCAAAAGCATCCTGCGTGGCTGCGGATGTCCCCATGCACCCAAGACCCTGAAAATCACTTTTTCCCCCCAAACAGAACCTGAAGGTCCCGCACAGCCACAGGCACGCGTGTGAATTAAAATCAGGTTGTGCCAACGGGTTAAACTGTGACAAAACCTTCAAAACAATGTCGCCAGCCCCCCCCCAAAAGCTTTGTTACCACTGGCTGGGAGGCGTGTCCCCACCAGCTCCTACCACCAAGCCACAAACAGGCCCAACAGAAGGGACGAGCTTTTGGGACACGCGAGCAGCATCCCGCAGCATCCCGCAGCAGCCCAAGCCAGAGGCACCCTGGGGTGCTCCCCTGCCAGCTGCTCGCCCTGGGGGGGTGCCCACCGTGGTGGGGACGGGGTGCTGGGGGTGCACCCTACCTGATCAGCCTGCCGTTCTCCACGTAGTACTGCACTCGGAAGTGGATGATCATCGGGGGGCCAAACTGGTCGATCCCCTGAAATGGAGGAGATATTCAGGGCTCCTGCAGAGACCTCAGCATCACACCCCAGCCCCTGGCCCCCTCGCCTCGGCTCATCTGGGGCCAGATCCATCACGGTCACCCCCTTGCCCCCGTGGGGTGAAAGCCACAGGGGAGCGTTCACTCGCTAACACCAATCACACATTTTTCCTGAATTAGGGTTTGACAACCATTTTTTCCTCCCAATACACTGAAACACAAAGGGGGTTTGGATCTAAAAAAGCAGACGGTTGTGTTCAAGACCCCCAGGGGTCTGCAGGCCCCAGCCACCACTGTCCATCTCCCACCCCTCCGCAGCCCATCACCCACCAGCCCCATCTTGGGTGCCAGCACAGGAGCCTTCACACCAACCCCCTAGGCACATCGAATCAAAATAATTAAAAGGCGCTTTATGGGGAAAAAAAACCCAAACGCTTGATTTTAGAAACTGGAAGAAAGGGACAGCTTAAAAATTCTGCTGAAGTGTAAGGAAATAAGGGAGGAAAAAAAGTCACAGCTCCAGGGTGGGGAGCGTGGAGGATGTGTCCCCAGCCAGGGCATGTGGTGGCACTTGGGTGATGGTCATCAAGTATCATCTAGGGTTTTTTTTTCGCACACCCGTCCCCCCACCCCGTGCTGGCTAACAGCCTAGTGCCCCCCCCTCGCCCCTCGGCTGCATTCCCGTGTCCTGGAAGTGACCTGCGACGGGGACAGAGGTGGCCTTACTGCCGTCAGCTCTCCATGCAAGACCTCACCGCTGACCTTGCTGGCCTCCTTCTTCCACTCCTTGGGGCAATACTTGTAGAGTTTCTGGGCCAGGTCCATGTACACGTGCTCATTGTCTAGGCAGGACAGAGGTGGCATCAGTGTCCCCCCTTTGTCCCTTGTATCCCGCCAAGCCCTGCCCTGGCCCCCCTGACCCATCGGTGGGTGGTGTTGGCGGGGTCCATAACCTCCTCCAGGCCACCAAAGGGCTGGATAAATTTGCCCCCGCTTTTGAGCAAACACCCCCCCGTACCCAGTGGCACCACGCCATGCTGAGCCGTGATGGCATCAGGCTGGCTTGGCCCCAGGCACCAAGCCCACGGTGTAAACCCCTGACTTACTCTGGATGACGCTGAGCCCAAAGAGGTGACAGTCCTTCAGCCTCAGGAGGTCACACACCTGCACCAGTAACTCGTGGCACAAAATCTTCACCTGCAAAAAAACCCTACACGTGGTCCTCGCTGCATCTGTGCCCAGCTGAGCTGGGCAGGAGGCACCAAACCCCCCACCGGCTCCCCAAGCAGCACTGGGGGGGTCACAAGCTGCGCTGTGGGGCTCATGTTTCCATGAGGCCAATGTGGAAGTCCCCAAAAGCAGGCTCCCACCCTGGGGTGCAGGCTCAGAGCTCTCCCAGGGATGGGATGCATGGGGGGACCACGGGGTAGCTCAAGAGCAGCGGGTGGTGGTAGAGACCTGGCTGCAATCAGCCTGGGGCAGGGAGATGGCTTTGGGGGAAGAAAACAGAATACTGGGTGGTGGTGAATTAAAAAAATGAAAAGCAGAGGAATTTCACACTCAATGCTACATGCGAAGCAGAGCCAACCCCCCTCCTGTTTAGTCACTGGGGTACAGGCGGCTGAGTTGCCATCCACAGTGAACGTGTGGAGCGAGGACTGAAAATCACGGCGCTGCCAGCAGCCCGTCGAGTCGAGATGAAGCCGAAGAGCGTAAAACACTGTTGCAGCCTTCAGGGGGAATAACTCCTGTGCATTTCTCCGGCAGGGCGAGAGCAGGCAGGCTCAAAATTAAACCCAGAAGCAAAACCAGAGCTTGCCAATGCACCCAGTTGTGAGGAAAACGTCGGTGCTCAGGGGGTTCTCCCTGGCCCCCGCGCTGCCTTACGTTGATGATGATGTTGAGGGAGTCGTCGTTGGGGAGGAAAATGCAAACGCTGCGGCGGTCCTGCATGACTCTGTTGTTGTGGAAGGTCAGTTTGTTCATCGTGGTCCGGGCTCAGGGCTCGGGGCAGGCGGCGGGCACCTCACCGGCGGGCCGGGGCGGCCTCGGTCCCCGCGGGCGCCATCCCTGCGGGAGAAAGGGGGGGAGCTGAGCCCTGTGTGTGGCACCCCCAGCTTCCCGCACCCCGATGCGGGCATCCTTGTCACCCATCACCATTTCCCCCCCTGGAAGCGGGGTGGTCCCCAAAAGCCCTGAGCACACCCCACCGCAGCCACCCCGCATCCCAGCCCTGGCGCCGCGGTTAGGGCAGCACAGGATCGCGGCCGAGCCCAAAAAACCTGACCCAGCAGTTTTATTCTCCCGGCTCGCATTCAGAAAAACCTCAGGAAAGGCTTTCCTGGCATAATTAACAAAAAAATAAGTCTATCTGCTGGGAACAAACCCAGCTCTGCCAGAGAGGAGCAGCATGCTGAAAAGCAAAAAAATTTTGTCAGCAGCAAAAAGACGAGGGGCTGGAGTGGGGTGTCACGGCAGAACCCCCACATCTTTTCCAGCATCATTCCCCCCAGCTCTTCACGGCGGTTAAATAAAACAACCCAAAGTCTACCAGGGATTTGCAGATGGGAATTGTCATTTCCCAGTGTTCACCTAAATCCGTGGAGAGAATCCATCCCAGACTAACCCCAGGCAATTCTTTTTAAGGGCAAATATTCCTTAAGCACTTTCTGCCCCATGACCAGCTCCAGGGACACAAATGCACGTGTGACGCCACCAGCAAGAACCTTTACACTCTAAAAAGTAGTTCAACCTTTTTTCTAACCCACAGATTCACGCTGGCACCGAGGACGGTATAGTGTCTCCCTCTTCATCAAATATTTGCTTTGGTCTACATGAGAAAACGCCTTTGGCTTCCAAAACAGTTTAACTTGCATATTTGTATAGCAGGGAAAAAAGTGCCCTGAGGTGACTTTGTGTTGGGTAGTTACTGGGGTTTGCCAGAACTTGGGAAAGCCAGGGGTGATGCTCCCTCCCCACGCCACTCCAGATTTGCACCACCCCCGTGCAGCCGTGCAGCATGGCTGCGCATTGCATCCATGGATCACGGCCACGCACCGCACGTGCACTGTGGCTGTGTGTTGTCGCCGTGCATTGTGGCCACGCACCTGTGCGCTGTATTTGTGCCTCGTGGCTGCGCATCGTGACCACACACTGCATCCATGGCCACGCATTGCACCCGTGGATCACAGACGTGCGTCGTGGCTGTGCACGACACCTGTGCGTTGCATCCATGCATCGTGGCCATGTGTTGCATCTGTGCGTTGTGGCTGTGCAGTGCATCCATGCATTGTGGCCGTGCACTGCACCCGCGCATCGTGATGGTGCATTGCGGCCATGCATCGCAGCTGTGCATTGCATGCGTGCATCGTGGCCACGTATTGCATCTCTGCATTGCACCTCCGCATCGTGGCCATGCATCGTGGCTGTGCATTGCATCCCTGTAGCACAGCAGTGCATCACACCCATGCACTGCATCCATGTAGCACAGGCGTGCATCGTGGCCGTACATTCCATCCACACATTGCATCCACGCATTACGACAGTGCAGCGTGGCCGTGCACTGCATCCATGCATTGCACCCAGGTGTTATGATGGTGCATTGTGGCCCTGCATTGCATCTGTGCATTGTGTTTGTGCATTGTGGCCATGCATTGCATCCATGCTTCATGGCCACGCAGTGCAGCTGTGCATTGCATCCATGCACCGTGGCAGTGCCTCATGGCCATGCATTGCACCCGTGCATTGCACCCGTGCATTGAGGCCATACGTTGCAACTGTGGATTGCATCTGTGCATCGCATCCATGCATTGTGGCCATGCATTCCACCCACGCATCACAGATGTGCATCATGGCCACACACTGCATCTATGCATTGCATCCAATGCATCGTGATGGTGCACTGTGGCCCTGCATTGCATCCGTGCATTGCATTTGTGCATCACGGCCATGCATTGCATCCATGCTTCATGGCCACGCATCACAGCCGTGCATTGCATCCATGCACTGTGGCAGTGCATTGTGGCCATGCGTGATATCCATGTATCACGGCTGTGCATCACGGCCACGCGCTGCATCTCTGCATTGCATCCATGCATCGTATTTGTGCGTTGTGGCCATACATCATGGCTCTGCATCGCATATCCATGCATCGTGGCCACGCACTGCATCCGTGTACCACAGAGGTGCAGCACGGCCACACGCTGCATCCATGCATCGTGACGACGCACCGAAGCCGTGCATTGCATCCCTGCCTCGCGTGCAGAACAGCCGTGCCCAGACACGATCGATCCCAACGGGGAGCAAACAGCGCAGCGGGCGGGTTTGGTTTCAAGGTTCACTAAAAATCACAGCGGTGAACATAAACGGGGCTGAAGGTATTTGGCAAACGTCCGCGCCCGACGCGGGGTTGGGCGTGAAGTGACTTGCAGGGGCCGTGGCAGGGAGGGCACCACGTCCCTGGCAAAGCAGCCGTGCCCGGGGGCACCCTCCAGCACCCTCTGCACCCCGCTCCCACCCAAAGCTCTCCCACAGCTCCCACACATGCAACAAGAGCATCTTCTCACCACAAAACTACCACCGCAGGCACGAACCACCCCTGATTTACCGGTAAACCCATCACCAGGAGGTTATTCTCTACCCCCAACCCCGCACACCCAGGGACGAGCGAATAAGCCCGGAGCAACTGGTTGGGAACGGGTCATTCCTCCACCATAGCCTCTGCACCAAGCCCTGCTCACAACAGGTTCCCCGAAGAAAACACCTTCTTAAAACCACTTGGAAATGAAACCAAGGCTTTAGGGCACTGGCAAAAACCCCCGGTGTCACCGCTCATCACCTCACTGCCTCCAAACTGCCTTCAAAAACCAGGCATCGAGCCCCACCGGTGTCCCCCAGGAGAGTTTCCCCACAGCACCACGCTGCTCTTGGCATGGGGCTGGTTGTCCCCACGCCGGTCAATATATTTACTCCTCCTCCTGCAGCCTGAATTGGTCCCCAAGCGTCAGGGATTAAACCACACGTTGGTGTCAGCGGAGCACGGGCATCGTGCAACTCGGTGAGGACGGCACCGCCGGAGCCAAAGAAAACATCACCCCCAGCAGCAGGTTCCTACCTCTGAGAGCAAGCAAAACACCGGAGGAAAAAAAAAAACCAACACACACATATATTTTGGTGTTTGTATAAAAAAAAAAGCTCCGGTTTCTGCTGCTGAATGATAACACACCATCAGACGACCACATAGAGCACCATAAGGGTGGCCAGTGGCTTTGCGAGACCCCCCCTCAACTCCAGGAGCTTCCCCCGGGGCTCTGCCAGCCCTCTGCGAGCTGGAGCCGCTGCAGATTTAGCAAGTAGGCACAAAAAGGCCTTTCCAGGGCGATGTGTCTCCAGCAGCCTCGGCCAGACGCTGGCAAATTCTTTCCGAGCATCTGCTGCTCATTCCTACAATGTCAGCTTTGATTCCCCGGGACCCCGCGCCGCTGCCCTCACCGAGTCGCTTCTGCTCCGGCGCAAGCGCCGAGGAGAGGCACGAACGTGTCCAGATCCGAGTTGGAAGAAAGCCTGGATTGCAGGGAGAGCCCCCCTGGAATGTCACACCGCAGTGGGGGGGGTGGGGTGTGACACAGGTCATCCCACAACCTGAGTGGGAACTTCCACCCTGGGGAGTTTTGCAAGGGGTTTTCTATCCGGAGAGCAAAGCTGGCTGGAAAAAACACTGGGAGTGAGGAGTAAGGCACGGATCAGCCTCTGCAGAACTGGGAGATCCAGGTCTTCCAGCCACATTTTCCCTGCTATAGGGAAAAGGGCATTAAAACTCCATAGGAAGGGAGTGCAAATGCCTTATATGCCTTGTAACTCCAGAGCTACGCAGAGAAAATTCCTCCATCTGCCGTGTTTTTCAGCCCAGGCTGCCGGAATATCATCTCCCTCCCTCATACCAAACGCCACGGGATAAACCCCGTCGCAAAGCTCTGCTGTAAAGAAAACATCACGCAATAAACCTGCTGGTCGGTGCGGCTTGGAAAAGCAGCTCGGGCTGTCGCTGCTGACTCGGCAGGGGATTTATTCAGCACAGGGTCTTGCAAACACGGCCGAGGGCAGGCAGAGGCTGGGCCCAGTTCAGGCAGAGGTGCCGGAGCAGCATGCCAGGCTCTCATCGGAAATATAAATTCGGACGCAGTTCCAGGGTTGGGGATTTAACATCGCTTGAACTTGTCGGCTGAGGTGGGTTTTTCTTCCAAAGAAGCAAAAGCGCGGGTTCTGCGCATGCGAAGGGAGGCTGGCTTGCGTGTGCAGCATTTCTTCCCCCCTCCACATATTTAATTACATTTAAAAGAAGCGGCTGAACCTCCATGCTCATGGTTTTGGGTCAGGTTTGTACCCCCATGGTACCTGCCAGACCATCACAATGTTGACCCCACAATCCCCAACCCCCAGACAGATCCAGCCCATTTCTCCATCACACAAACTCATCCCCTGCTTGACAAAATATCAATTAAAAAAAAAAAAAATCCTGCCCTATTGGATACCTAACCCATCGCCAGACTTTTGTTCCAGCCCTCCCGGGGCGAGGGAAGGGACATGGCATGGTACCCCAACATAGACCCCAACATGTCCTGCAACGAGGGACAGTCCAAAGTGCAGAGCGAGCTGGGAAGATGAATTCACAGGGCAGGAATTTCTTGTTTTTAAGAGTTTAGAGTCAGTTTTACCCCACATCACAGGGCGCAGGTATGCGTGAGCTGTTATTACAAGTTTTAAGGCCGTCACTTAATGCAGCTTCTACTAACCCAAAAGCCAGATTAATTCCTGCTTGTGGTTGCCCCATAATTAAAATCGTCTCCAATTCTTCATGAACTCAACAGTTTCCTCCTAATGAAGAGAGGCAGATGAAAGAGACCTTCACTGGGAAAAAGGACTCGGTTATAAATATTACATTACTTCATCCACCACAAAAGCTATTTGGATGCTGGAAACTCAGCCTGGGCAGCCGGGGGCCAGCCCCACCAGCCCCACCAGCCCCAGAAGATGCCCCCAAGCATCTTTGGAGGTATCCAAAAAGCCTCTGC